CTGCGTGGAGTTGGCATCCTGAGAGCTTGACCGGCGGGACTACGAGCAAAGCAAGGCCTTCGGCTGAAATGAGCTTACCTGCAGTTCGCAGTAGCCTGATCCGTGATGATCACTCCACAGGCATTTGCATGCGCTGCATGAATCTGGATCTGCTGGACGAACTGTCCTTCATGCTCCTGAAACACCTGGCTTCTGATTTCAACCTGATCATGCAGCACTGGACGATTTTGCTCTCGGAGTGTGCTACTGAGCTTAGGCGGCTTCGGCGGCTGCTTCATGTCCACTGGTTTGCCTTTGCTGGCACGACGCTCAATCTGCAACTGCAGTTCATCCACTAACCTGACACTCGGCTTGGCCACACTGCTGCTTAAGAGCACTCCAAGGATTGTGGGCTTGGAGGGCCCGCAGCACAGCATCTGTTCCAAGTGCATTGATCACGTGTGCCGTTCTCTCAGCAACTCGTTCAGGGAAAACCCCATGCTTGGCAAGTTCAACCAGCAACGCCTGGGAGGCTTCCTGCTTGGTTTGGGCACCAAAACCTCGGCCAGCCGCAAGCATGCATGGTGGCCCAACCTTGGTTTGCACCACAATGTGCTCTCGGAACTTCTGCTTGAGCGCAACTGGATCAGAATATTGTGGCTGATCCCACGCATCCCCTACGGCGAACGCAAAGAAATGGATGGCCCTGAACCCACACTGGCCATCTGCAGTACGCGGCTCCTCATGAACATGCACCGTGAACCTGTGGCACCCAACGCTCTGCATGACCTGCTTGTGCAGTTTTTCAAAGTTGGGCAGCTGCATAATGTGACACTGGATGGATGCGCGAAGCTGGCCAGCCACAATGTCGTACGACACTGGGATCCAGTGCTGCTCATCTTTGACCACACCCTTCGACCGACGGCCCCCCCCCAGCTTACGCAGAGAGGGACCAGTTCGCTGAGACGCCAGCCAGGTGTATTACCTGGCCAGCAAAAAGACAAATCAAAAAGGCCCAAACCGGCCCAGGAGGCTCCTAAAGAGCGTATTCCAAGGGTCTGCCGGCAGGCAGTGTAGCTCAAGTGATCTTGCCGGTCGGCAATCGACAGATTGAGTACGGTGGTTCAGTGGCAGTTTCTTTGGAGAGTCGACGGGCTATACAAGACCATTTGAGTCCTCCGTCACTTAACCATGGAGTTACTGCTTTTAATTAAGCACATTGCTCCGTGGGGCACAGGTTTCACAAGCTATGTACACACGGGCATATAAGCGTGCCAGAGGGTTGTGTGCAGCTTGGGGCAGTGTACCCCGAGTTGCATAGCTTTGAGTAACACTTTAAAGCAAGCAGCGTCCCCCCCCTAGTTTGTGAAGGTACAGCACACACCTGCAATGCATGCACACTGCAGGATAGTTCAGTTCCGACCCGTTTTGGCAAGCTATGTACACCCGGGTGTTCAAGATCACAAGTGTCGGTGCTCACGGACCACGATTAGTGGAGGAAATCATCGCTACCAGGCAAGGCTTGCCCGATTTGGAAGAAATCAACACTAAGAGGTGGGTTTGTTTAATGCCATTTCCGTGCTTTACCCTTATTGGAATCTTGGAGCTTTCTCCACTTGAAGAACCTTTCGTATCGGCTTTCGTGGCACTCATTAGGCTGCATGCTTACCTTGCAAGTATGAGCGACTGGCAGGTTTCGAATCACATCTCTTGCGAGTGTGAACTCAGGGCCACTCGTGTAGCCCTTGAGCATCATGTTCATCGTGTGATCTTGCAAAGGTAGTATGGGTCTTGTAGAAAAACCGGAGACTTTAGTTGATGACCCGTAGATGCGAAGAGTGTTCACTTTAACCCGTTTAGTCCAAGGGAGGAACTCCTTTTCCACTCGGCGCTGTAGCACTCGGATGGCACCCTCGAAATCTTTAGCGGCTTGCGTCCAAGTAAACGGTAGCAGGAGTACGGCGGGGTCCTGCTGGGAGGTTCTCATGGCGTAAGTATCTTTGGGTAATTTCGCTAATTCGTCTTTTGAGGGTTTCATGACTCTAGGAATTTCCATTCCTGAGCAGATTTGCCAGTTGACGCAAAGTTCAAGCCAAGCTATGCCTGGGTCCTCCGGGGTAGAGTGCGTTGGCCACTGGAGCTGTTGCAACCAAGCTTGGATGGATTCACAAAATGCTGTGCCCCACACACATGCTTCTTTGAGTTCCTGCGGTATAAGCACAGTGTATCTGGTGCAAGGTGGGTTCCAGTTTTGCATGATTTGGAATTTTTGGTTGCTCGTTGACCGAGTTCCTTTTTGAGTTTCACTTTCGGCCACACGTTTTAGATAAGTGATGGTTGTCCGGGCTGCATAAGTGAGTACTTTACCCAACATGCTTTGGTCATTTTTCTCGGCCTGAAACAGCTGCGCCGCTTCTTGACGTAGCGGAGTTGGAATGGTTCCAATTGCCTGCTTAGCCGCGGCATCTGCAATTTCATTGCCTAAATGGATGAATGCTTGCACATGGTCTTGCACCCCTAACGAGTCAACGTGTGATTTTACCTTGTGAATCATTTGCTGAGGTGGTCTAGATACTTTTGCAAGTCTATAAACCAGATCCTCATTGGCTTTATCCATATAGAAGGCATCCGGACCACGTACTGCCACCAAGTTCCACAAGTTTAGATTGCTCTGGCAATCAGTGAATATCACACTATCGGGTCGAGCTTCCAAAGCTACAACCAATGCTTGGAGCTCGGCTCTGGTCACCGTCTGATCCCCTTTAGTTTGCGCCATAGCGATCACCTTGAAGGCTGGCGGGATCACCCGCGTGCTTTTATATTCCCTAGCAAGGCCTGCACGTTCGTGCACATTGGCAGTTGATAGCACGATCGCCCAACCTGAGGATCGTGCCTCTCGGGAAGTTTGATGGTACCCACTCCCATCAATGAAGAGGTGTGGAGTATGCGGGATGCTTCGTAGTAGTCGGAGGTTGGCCTCGCTAATTACTCCTTCGTGGATATGCTCTGAAGTAAATTTCAAGAGAGTAGCACTGGGGCGAGTTATTGCCACCGGGATTCTCCAAATGCGATTATGATCTTCTAGTTCAATTGCGGCCCGGTCATTGCTAAGATATGCATCTTGCATGGCCGTGCATTCGAAAAGAGAATGTCGAAAACAGGCAATTTCATCACATAATTCGCATCTGGCTGATATACCACGGTTCCAACCTGCTTTTCTAGCTTGGGATGAGTAGCCACCCACAATCTGCAGTGCGGCCGTTCGCTGGAGGGATGATTCAACGCTACCTAGCGCTTTGGATGTTGCGAGTCGACTGATTGTGGCAATGCCTTCACACTCTTTTCGATGCTGGACCTGCGTAGTTACAACTTCCATCCAGGAGGCATGCAAGCATTGACAGAGGCGACGCCAGGGTACCGTAGGGATATGAAGCTTAACCCCATCTGATGTGATGGCATGTCCCGTATCAAGGATTGTCCATTTGAGCCGATTGGCTGAACGTTTTGCAACACCGGCCGGGCCGTGAATTTTTTTATACTCGCCTGAGTGCATGGTAATTGCAAGTATGAACTGGTTTTGCTGCTGCTCATCTTTGACAACCGTGATGATATTGACCTTTGACTGGTCACTGAAAGGCTTTTGCATTCCCCACTCGTCAAATGCACTCGGGATTTCACTCAAGACGGCCCGACTGGCAAGCTATGGGTCGAGTACCCTTTTGTCACAGCTCTGTGTCTCTGCCTGGATGCATTGCATGGCGTAAAGCAGTTCAGCCCACAGAACTCCCTGCTTGTCAAGCACCTCAATTCGGTCCGTGGGGGTGTGAATGGGCGCCCTCCATGGTGCAACACCTTCATAAGAATCTGCCGGAAGCAGACCATTGAGCAATCTGTGGATCAACGTCTCAAGGGGATTGCTGCACCATCCTGTGCAATGGCGTTGTGTGCGCTGTGACCCTTGGCTTCATGCACATGGCTGGGATCAGCCTCTTGTGAGTATGGCTTCTTCATCACTACGAGTGATCTCAACCTCAGTCCGCGGTCTTTTTGCAACCGGCGCTACTTCACTGGCTTCAGCTTCCTCAGAGCGCACCTGTGGCAATGATTCATCTGGCATCTCAAGACATGCGGACTCCTGCACGGCTTTTCAAGTGGCACAAAAGTGCCTGCTTCAGCATCACTTGCTTCCAAAGGCTGGCTCCAGAAATCCAGAATGGCTTGCGCAATGCTCTTCTGATATGCTGCCAGAACCTCTGTGGGCTCACACTGGGTTCCCTACCACATGCAAGATCAACTGCTTTGCGCACACATGCTCCTACCCACACTGACTGGATGGGGGATGCAACTTGGCCAGTGACCGCCAACGCCAAGCGCATGTCAGATCCAAGCAACATGTTGGGTGGAATCCCCGCCAGGGCCCACACCTCTCTGGGGTGAACATGGCGAAACACCTGGACATGAGAGCCATCGCTTGCCACTTCCGTTCTGTCAATCACAAGGGCTCCATGAATGCCCTTGCTTGCCAAGCGATTTTCAGTGAAAGGGAACTTCCTACACCCAAGCGCATGGATACACTTGACTTCCCCAGCTGTGCAAGGCTGTCTGTGCTGGACCTTCTTTGTTGATCAGGAACATTCTCAGCGGCTTGTGCTCCGAAAACCTCCTTTGCTCACACTGAGTGAGCTCGAGCTGTTTCACCTCCGCCTGTGGCCACTGCATGACTTGCTGAAGCACCTGGCGAACCTTGCGACACTCACTGCAGATACGAAGCTGTGGGATGCTTGCTGGTGCAATCCCTGGATGTGCCAGAACGCACCACCATCGCTCATGTGCAAGACTGAGTTGCAACTGCTGCTCACGGATCTGAAGCCCGGTTTGGAGTCACCAACCACATGTTGTCGCCAGTTGCTTTGCAATGATGATCAGAACCTGCTGTAAACAACTCTGGAAGCAGAACCCACCAGGCCAGAACTTAACCAAACGTCCAGGAAGGGGCCAATGCCACCCCATAAGCCGCAAGCGAGGAGGATGTGGGGCGTCTGCGCGGTAAAATCTGAGCGACGTCGACAGGCTGGCCTGGGCGGAGCAAATCATGCTCTCGGCTTGTTGAAATACTCACTAGTCATACCAGCTTGGAAGGCTAGGCAAGGGTCAAATCGAAGAAGCGTGCCTTTCACTTATGAGTGTGACATCCTGATGTCCGTGTCTCACCACCGGATGATTGAAACACGTGCCTCATGAAGGCAAACATGCTGAAGCCGAGTCCGCAGATTTGAGTCCAAGTGCTTCCCCAAGCAACCCCGAAACTGACCAGCGGATTTCTGATGCCACTGATGGACAAAACCTGTCTTGCCTGGAGAATCCTCCCAAACTATCTGATAAGAATCTTCCAGTTTTAGACATTGTGCTTCGAACTGAATCAAGAAAACCCATCCTTTAGCTTGAACCCGCCTTGGACAATGGCATTGCCTAAGATTTGGGGTGTCAAGCTCTGGCTGACCATGATTCGGCAAACTGCTTGGCTTAGCCTTGTGGCACTTCTGGCCGCGAGGGCTGTCCTCCGATTGTCATTGCAGGCTCTGTTCCCTTGCTGGCATTTGTCACGTTGTAAGAGTACCGACTGCCCAATCAACCATCTGATGGTCTTTTCAATCATGGCGAGGGCACTGTCTTCCACATCCCTCCACCTTCCCCAGTCACTTGGCAGCCCGGCTCATCAGAAGCGACTGACGAGGCGCCGAGGTTGAGCTCCGCCTCTGGATTCCATGCATTAGCCACGCATGTCAAATACGTTTATCGATCTGGAAGTGTCTAGAATCCACGCAGAGTGGCTGCAGTTTCAACATTGGCATTGCAATGACGGGACCGCACTAGCAGCCGAGCCACGATGTGGGCGCAGAAGCAGGCCGCGATGTGGGCGCAGAAGCAGGCCGCACCTCAGCGAGAAATCATATGGCAACATGGTAACGCTCTCATTGCGACTTGAGAAGAGTCATGTCCAGTTTGGACAGGTTTTTTGGCATGGTCAAACCGCCCATGATCCGTATTGCAAAAAACACTCTCACAAGTATGGTCACGTGCAAGAGCACACTTATTTGCAGTCAAGCAGCTTTTGCTTCTTGCTGCCACATCTGGACCTCGTGCCTGCAGACATGACGTGACCAGGAAGCTGCCCCAAGAGGCAGCTTGCGGCAAATCAACTGCAAAGAAACCCTCTGCTTCCAAGCATTGGCACAGACCATGGCGCCAGTCCGTGTGGCTTGTTGGCCCTTTGCCTGCGGGGTGCAGGATCCGGGGCCGGCGGAGGCGTTAGCGTTGGCGCAGACTGGCAGCGAAGGCCGCAGAAAGCGGAGCGGTCGGAGACTCTGAACATTGCACCGAGTTGGAGAGGAAGGTCCAAATTCATTGCGAGGGGAAGAGCAAAGTCACAACCAATGGCAATCATGCAGGTGCAATAACGAGTGTGATGTGTGTCCAGAGGGACACCTCCAAATGGTTCATGCAAATAATCGGCTGAAAAGGGCTCCCCATTTGAAGAGCGTCGCATAAGTCCATGCAATCAGTCACTGCGGTGCCTTGGTCGCGCCATCAAACCTAGCCTGGCGAAATTGCTGGAAAGTGAAGGTCTCATAGTGCACAGGGACAAGCTTTGACTTCGAAGCAATGAGCGCAAGCAAACAAGAAGGCTCTAGCTTGCTACATTCGATAGTCCCTGGCTAGTTTACAAGGCCACACCCCAAGTGGATGTTGCGACAGGCAAAGAATGATCCTGCGGCCAAGCGCATCATGCAGCAAAAGCCAAACTTGTTCCAAGGCCTTAATAGCTGGTCTGGCACATCTGGCACATGCTCTCTGTAGGCCATCTGCTGATCAGAGTTCCGTGCCAGAATAATTGGCAGCTAATTGCTCTGGCTGAGTTTGTTTTCAAGAAAGTGGTGGCAAATAATTTCTGGCATTTTGCCTCTGCTCTACCCCACCATGCCTGTGTTGGCTGCGCCCTGGCCCAAGCGCAAATGCACACACACACACACATACACAGAACAGGTGCCCTCAAGCTAACAATCTTTCAAGAGCCTGGGAGGGAGGCCTTTACTTCGGCTGCATCTGCATCCTCCAATACCTTTGGGGTTCCTCAGGGAAGCCCGCGGCATTCCGAGTTGGGTTTACTGTGAGAAGTCGCGCCTTGAGGCACTGGCTGAGCTTGGCCGCCGTGGCAGGGCCTGACAAAGCCCAGCGATTGGGGCGGCTGGTTCAGTTTTTGGGAAAACAAGTTAGCGGGATGAGGGAGAAGCGGGGATGCGCGAGGATTCCCAGTGTGTTTTCTTTGTTTGTCTGATTGAGCGAGTCAAAACTTTGCTGCTTGAAAGGCGGGGCCTGCCATAGCCACGCCAGGAAGCCGGAAGGCTGCGCCATGAGGCTGGCAGCAGAAGCCCTGGCCGAATGGCAACTGCTAAGTTTGTCTCTGTCTTTGTGAGGAAAACCCGCTTCATTTTCCGTGGCTCCCCAACTTCAAGACAACTCATAGATGGGCCCGCAGGTCATGCTTGCAGGTCAGCTCCAGAACAGCCTCAAAACGGCGTCCGTGTCTGGGCTTCTGTCCTGGGTAGCAAATCTTCAAAGAGGAAGTGTGACTGATGCAACGCTTGGTGGTTGCATGTTGTGGAAGAAACGCGCCTGAAAAGCATGCTGGGAAGCTGGTGGTCAAACTTAGGGGCCGCACTGATAGAATTTCCTCTAAGTCAGCGCGAATGGGACCGAAAAATCAAAAGAGCCCACACACACACACACACACATACAAGCATAAACAAGGAGAGGGAGAGCGAGAGAGAGAGAGAGAGAAAAACAAGAGAGCCCATTGCCTTGACCACCCCGCATTTGGGCTGGCCATCGCCTTCTTTGTGAAGGCTCGGGGGACGACCATTGAGGCACCTGACGCAATCTGGCTGTGCCTCTGAGCTGCTTGCCCCAACAAGTAAACACTTATGAATTTGAGAAAAGAGGGTCATTCTGGGGTCAAGGTACATCAGACGAGCAGGCAAACAATGCACAGCACCAGTTTCCCAGACGCTTTCAAGAAATGCGAATGTTTGATCGTTTCTCCCCAGGCTCGGACAAGCCCAATACGCATTTGGGCTAACGACACATGCCCAAACAATGTGGTGACATTCCTGCATGATTGACAATACCCGTCAGGACCGGTACACTGAAAGCAGGGATGTGCTTCAAGACCAAATGGGAGGTACTCAACGGGAATGATGGGAAATGCATTCCAAACTGTTGGCTTCTTCAAAAACGCAAGGCCCTGCGGCCCCGTTGAGCCTGAAGCTGGGCCCCAACAAGGGTGCCACTTGCGATCCCGGGTTTCGCACTTCGCTTTCAAGGCTCGCACCTTCGGCGGCGGCACGTCGGTGCGCACCACAAACCTCTTGGATCGGGTCGGACTGGTGGCCTGTGGCGTGAGGGGAAGCCTCACTGCTGCTTGCCCTTGGGCCCTTGGGAGGTCAACCTTTCAGGCGCAAGGAGTCTCCGACATGAAGCAAAGCTCACGTGTGTCATTGGGTCTATGTGAATGAAGGCTGGCTCCTTCGTTCAACAAAGTGGCATAGAACACATTTTTGTGAACTTGATGCATTTCCCGCTGAACAATCTGATCAACCCTGGGACCCTCAACGAAGGATGTGAAACATCAACAAGAAATGCAATGCCAGGCATCCTCTCTAATCTTGAAAGTTCTGGAGCACAAGCAACAGTGATGAACAAGCTGGTGAAAGACCCGTGCTTTTGGTAGAGCTGGTCTGAGAAGTCTTTCGCGTCTTTCATGACTGGAGGCTCCAATTCGAAAAGGCCCCTGGCCGAGGCCGGCCGGGCAACTGAAAGGTATGAACAAACGATTCATCGACCATAACGCCCGCTATGCGCTTCCTTAACAGCAAAGGGCAGGAGCTGCGCCCTTCAAAAGCGATTGAATAGCTTAAACGAGTCTTCAAACGCCGGGGACTTTAGGACCGGTTGACAAGGCAGTTGGCATTTCCTTTTGGCCAGTTCATGGAGTCGGCTGAGCTGCAGGCACTGGCAGTAAACGTCACCACGGAGTTTGGCTCCTTTCCTGGGCCCACAAAGTGGCTCGACCGTCGGGAGTGTGGCCGTGGGAGTCTGATGCCACCCAGCCAAGGTCCATTTCAACCGCCTCTCCAATTTCGCCATGTTAACCTGCTCGGAATGCCTTGTCAGCGCAGATACATAGCTCATCTGCCAGCAGCACCACTATATCAGCGAATGTCTCAAAAGAAACAAGGCGGAAGCCGATGGACGGCGTGCTATCACTGCCAAACTCTTCGCAAGTTCCACCTGACCAACTCACAAGCTAGCGGTTCTGCATCTATGGCCATTGCAAGCAGAACATGGATAGTCAATATTCTTCCTGAAATTGTCTGGCCTATCGTGGGTGGTGTGCTCATGCGCTATTTATTGTGTTATCGTAGTATCTTCCTTGTTGAACTGAGCAGAACCGATGTCCAAACTTATATCTGCGAGTGGACTATTCAAGGCTCGCCCCTTTCCAAGACTAAGCCTGTTACAAGCACGACCCCTCTTGATGCCTGTGATCCCGTCCCTGCACGACTGTGGCCCTTTCAACCTCCCTTGAATGAATCGGCTCGCAAACATGCTGCCAATTAATAGCGCCGATCGAGATTCCGACACTGGAGTCAGGACAAAGCGCGATCATGGCACAAGATTCTGTTCCCGAAGGCAACATTTTGGCAGGTCCTCAAATTGCAAGTATCTGCCAAAACTGAAGGTCGTCAGGCATCTGCCCTCAGGCCAACACGTCGGGTGCATTTGCAGGGTTTGGAGATTGTTTTGGAGCACCGTGTGACATTCACGCTTGGTGGCTTTGTCGTTTGGCCCAGCAATCCCCCACCGGAATCGCACACACCCTAATTCATTTGGATATGAATTTTTATAGGGAGCCACCTCACAAGTGGCCCATTTGCGACCCCCCCCCGGCAACTTGCGTGCTGCACAAGTTGCTGGGAGCCCAAGGAGATCGACCATATTTCATCCACTCGAGGACCTCCTGCTCTCCTCGAGAAGGAACGCAGCAAATGGCAATAGGCCACAACTGTTGCAAGCAAAGAACAATGGCCAGGCTCTTCTGATCAGCTCACAAACGCAAGGTGCCTTTGGGTGAGACTGTGAAAATGCTGCTCAGTATGCCCCCTAGATACACAGACCCACACTCCCACACACCCACACGCACACACGCACACACACAGACACACAGACACACAGACACACAGACACACAGACACACAGACACACAGACACACAGACACACAGACACACAGACACACAGACACACAGACACACAGACACACAGACACACAGACACACAGACACATATACTACACACACACATATATATATACACACAAAAACACATCCACACACACACACATCTACACAAACACAAACACAAACACAAACACAAACACAAACACAAACACAAACACAAACACAAACACAAACACAAACACAAACACAAACACAAACACAAACACAAACACAAACACAAACACAAACACAAACACAAACACAAACACAAACAAAAACACCAACACAAACACAAACACAAACACAAACCAACACAAACACAAGACCAAACACAAACACAAACACAAACACAAACACACACACGCACACACACACACAGGAGACAGACAGACAGAAGACCCGAGACAGAGACAGAGACAGAGACAGAGACAAGAGACAGAGACAGAGACAGAGACAGAGACATGAGACAGAGACAGAGACCAGAGACAGAGACCGAGGACAGAGACAGAGAAGAGACAGAGACAGAGACCCAGAGACAGAGACAGAGACAGAGACAGAGACAGAGACAGAGACAAGAGACAGAGACAGGAGACAGGAGACATGAGACAGAGACAGAGACAGAGACAGAGACCGAGAACAGAGACACAGACACAGACACAGACACAACACAGACACAGACCACAGACACAGACACAGACACAGACACAGACACAGACACAGACACAGACACAGAACATACACAGACACAGACACAGACACAGACACAGATCACAGACACAGTCACAGAGACAGAGACAGACAGACAGACAGAGACAGACAGACAGACAGACAGACAGACAGACAGACAGACAGACAGACAGACAGACAGACAGACAACAGACAGACAGACAGACAGACAGACAGACAGACAGACAGACAGACAGACAGACAGACAGACAGACAGACAGACAGACAGACAGACAGACAGACAGACAGACAGACACACACACACACACACAGACACACACACACACACCACACACCACACACCACACACCACACACCACACACCACACACCACACACCACACACACACACGAACACACACACACAGAGAGACACACAGAGAGACACACAGAGACACACAGAGACACACAGAGACACACAGAGACACACAGAGACACACAGAGACACACAGAGACACACAGAGCCACACAGAGCCACACAGAGACACACAGAGACACACAGAGACACACAGAGACACACAGAGACACACAGAGACACACAGAGCCACACAGAGCCACACAGAGCCACACAGAGACACACAGAGACACACACAGACACCCACAGACACCCACAGACACACACACACACAGACACACACACAGACACACACACACACAGACACAGATAGACACACACACAGACAGACAGACAGACAGACAGACAGACAGACAGACAGACAGACAGATAGACAGACAAACAGACTGACAGACAGACAGACAGACAGACAGACAAACAGACAGTCAGTCAGTCAGTCAGACAGACAGACAGACAAACGCACGCACGCACGCACGCACGCACACGCGCACACACGCACACAGCACACTCACATGCCAACATGGACTTGGCAAAAGTGTGCACCTTAGCTCATAACAAATGCTTCCTGCATGACAGGCGCAAGCACTTGGGCACTGCCCTGTCCTAGCTGCGGTTTTGGCGGCTCTTTGCGCCTGAGAAAAGCGCTGGCCACTTGCACTGGATATGAACGGCCCTCTGAACAGTACCCAATTTTGCGCAAGGTCTAAATTCCGATTCTTGGGAAAGGCTTTGCAAGACGTTCTTTCGTGCAACAGATTCAGCTCTGGAAAGCTGACATTGACTTCAAGCTAAGTGAGCCAATCCAAGTCCAAACTAAACCAACTCAACTGGCATGCTGCATCTGTTCATTGCCGTTCGTGCGTGCGTTTGTGGAACTCAGTTGGCAAACAAGCTGCTGCCGTGTAGTGTGGGCTTGCTTCAGCATGTCTGACAAAACCTCCCCAAACGCGTGCCTCAGCTGTGGAGCGCTCTGCGGCCTGCTCTGCGGGCGCGTCAATTGTGGAGCGCTCTGCGGGCGCGGGCGTGGCTGCAGGTTCTCCTCGAATGGCTTTTGATGCTGCGAGGTCACGGCTCACAAACTTCAGCAGCATTCGATCAGCCTGGGCCTGTGGTCTTTACTCTTGAATCGGAACTCATCAAACCTCCAAGCTCTTCGAGCATTTCCGCACACCCCACTGGCAGGTTGCAAGGGAGACATCCCGGCCCTGGAACGGTGTACAAAACATGCTGTTATCAAACCACCACAGAATTTACAAACACGCAGAATTACAAAACCTGCACAAATACAAAGACGGTCCAGCGACAGCTCCTGAACGGACACTGCAGGCTGGGGCTCTCTTTGGAGACCTGGGAGGGAAAGCAATCACTGAGCTTGGATAGCGCACTCTGAACAGGTTTCGCCCAAATGCCATCCGAAGCTGTTTGCCCGTGTCCATAACTTCTCTGGTCTCAAGATTCCATCGGGCGACGCAAACAGCAAAATGAATCTCTTGACCTTGACCTGACAAACGCATGACTTGATTTGTACGCATATCTCAGCTGTTCTGAGACTGGGATTAAACAGATACTTGGCAGCAAACATGCAACCATGTCCCCTAAAAAAGAATACCTCCCACTCCCCAAACAAAAACCTTTTCGGTTGACATCCTAAAAAGGTCCTGAATAATTAGGCAATTTGCAAAGCGCACGCCGGTGACGCGGGAAGTTCGAAGTCCCAAACGACCGAACATGCCGAATCATTGTGCATTCGCTAGCATGTCTTTGCGAGATGCTTCGAATCTGGAATGGGCTTGTCTGCAGCATTGAGGTCCCGACTCACCTCAAAGCCTGGCATTCTGTTGACAGCCGGGCAACATTTTTTTGGACACGCCATACCTGCAAAGTGCAAGCCATCCGGCAAAACGCGGCTCAAATCCCAAGGGTGGCAGCCCCTTGCCCCATTGCAGCCATGGCATTGATCTCTCGTCACGACTGCTTCAACTTAGGCACTGAACCTGAATGCTGAGCTTCATTGCAGAAAGAATGCCAATCAATAAAATTGTCACCGCAAAACTTGGCCAAAGAAATCCTCATTTTTGTACTGGCCATACTCAGGGCTTGAACATGCGCCCAGGCCGACTCTCGCCTGTCAGCCCGGTGCTGTAGCAGCCTTGCGAGTCTTTCGACACGCCCCTCAGCTCGGTCTCCGGCAGGGGTCCTGGCAAGGAAGGTACACGGACATGGAAAAGACACTGCGACTCAACCGTGCCCTTCATTCTGAACCAAAACATGGGCGAAGTATCCGGTACAGCGGGCTTGATGAAATCTTCAAGCTGCTATTCAACATTTGCGTTGTTCCTGTGCGCGCACGGCCACGACGGAAGCGATCCGCAGTAGTGAGCCTGCAGCGTCATGCATGCGCTCGTCATACATTGCCAGCTTCAAAGCAGGTCGTAGCAGGCCGAGCCATCCTTTGCACTGAACCCCTTGATACTTTAGCATGCTCGGGCATGACCAAGGGATATGCATCAAGTAAAGCTGCATCAGCAAGAGGGTAGCCTTCTTTGTGGTTTTAAATGCTAAGGGGAGAAAAAAGGCAACCCCATTTACGGGGTGCCCGTAAAACAGACATGCCAACATGTAGCTGCTTCAGCCTGGCCTTGGTGGGCTCGGGCTGGGATTCAGCACCAAATCTGAGGGCGGCTGCTGGCGCCTCACCAACGATGCACGAAACGGCTAAAACACTTGACTATATACTCATGACTACTGACTCCTGGAATAAGTCGTCCTGAAAATGAACTACAAGCATTCTCTAAGGAACTCGTCTGAACCCACCCACACGTTAATATGGTTTGGCATCCATCTGCTTACCCCTGTCCCTCATCCTTCAGCTGCAGGTAAGAATCTCCCGCTCTCCCTTCAGGACTCTCCAACACATGTTCGGCCTGCGAGTTCAGTGTGCGAGGAAGTCAACAAGCTGGCCAGCAGGCATTTTCTAAGCAGGAGCCATTCCATGCTCCGATGAACTGGATGCCTTGTGGAGCAAGCAGAAGCAAAAACTCAACCCGACAGCCAGCCCCAAATCATCCATCCTGAGGAATATAAAAAAAAAAACACACGCATGTTTTCCTCGCCTTCAACTTGGAACTTCCTTCGTGGTCAAAGGACCCTGGTGCCGCATGGTGCCACCTAAGGATACCAAGCGGCCGGGTCCCAAATTTGCACAGCCCAAAAGGGGATGTGTCTGAAAAGAGGGACACCGCTCCGTTTTTAACGAACAGTTTTAGTGGTCGCTCAGTTTGACAATCCCCTGATCCCGCCATTGTCCCACCTCCACCCACCCAACCGCCTGCACGGAGCACTCTGTGGACGTGACTTCTGGCCCTTGTGCCACACCTCCACGGTGGCAGGGGCTGCTGGGACCTTCGGCACATCCTGAGCCATGAGTGAGCGGAGTATGGTTCCTTGGAGGATACATCCAAAGAACACGTTGGGTACATCCTACAACCAACAACCAATTGCTTTACAAAGGGATTGTACGAATGCTGAAGGTGATGTATTCACTGGCCCACATGTGTCCTTTGAGGCCCTGAGGACATGGGAAAATTGTCTCTCCATGTCCTTCCACAGCAACAAGAGACTACCGACATTGTCGGTTGCCCGTGGCATGCAGCGGGGCCCTCTGTTTGTTGCTGATCGAAATACCTCCTTGGGACTGAAGTCAATTCACAATCACTGCAAACAAACTGTGACCACTGAATAGAACTTAGATAAGGCCCGCGTGCGGCAATCCCTCCCACCCAATGCTCTCTTGTTGAACTCATGAGCCTGTGCTAAGCGTTCATAAGCTGCTGCAAACGGAAACCAGCGAACAACGCACTTCTCCATCTGCGCCGAAGCAACACAGCCACTGGCTTGCGAACGCCGCCAAATTTGCACATGACGGACTTCGAATCGAACCGAACCGCACGAAGCGAACCGCGCGAACCGGAAAAAAGCGCGCGAGCCGAACAGTTCCACGAACCGCACACGCAAACCGGCACGGACATAGCGACCAGGTGACCAGCGCAGCACTCACTGGTAAGCCCAAACTCAAACGAAAAACACATAAGTAAGCGCGTGCTGAACCTACGCATTAATTACATACGCACACACACACACCATAGTACGTGCAGGCGATGGCGATAGCCTGGCCTCCAAGGGTCCGTCACTTGTCAATGCTGCCTATGCCTATGCTAAACCGGCGCGAAGCGAGAACCAAACCGAACCGAACTGCAAAGGAAACCGACCTGACCCGATTAGAAAGAACTGCTACGAACCGAACCGCTTGAAGAACCGAACCGCCCAAATTTCCAGAAACCGAAACCTAACCGAACCACAGCCACATTTGCAGCCAAAGTCACATGCAAAAGCATCCATGTGTTCTCAAGGTTCTCCCCAGGCACTTCCTGCCGTTCCAGGCAGTGACAAATTCATATCACCAGCAAAAACTGCACCCTTGGTGTCAGCTGATTGGACCAATGAGCGGAACCCATTCGAGTTAATTGGCAAGCCCATCTTAACGCGCCATCGCAACGTCCGCCATTGGCATCCCTCTCGGAGGAAAAGGCAAGCAGGTGTTGCAGGCACCGAGAATTCATGGCCAGCCGCAAGGCAAACTTCACATGTCAAATCAGTTCAAACAATCTCACCCTGAAAAACTGTTGGTATTGAGTTCACCCACGAGCGGCCTGCCAACTTCCTGGCTTTACACGTCGAGATCTAAATGCGATTTGGCAGGTCACACATATTCCGATAGGTGAATATTGCCATCCCTGCCAAAGGCATATATGGCCCTCTTGAGCCTACAACCAAAAGAGGAGCTAAGAAGCTGTGCCGAAGGCAAAGCGCTGCCCCTAACTTGGCGAATCAGGTCATTTGGTGCTTCCTGTATCGAGGCTGGGCGCGGCTATGCCTATCTCCCAGAGACTTCGGCTGGGTCATTCTCCCAGCGAGCTTTGCAGTTGCCTGCTTTGGACTCAAGGGGCCGTCCAGAAAACAGCGGCACTGGGCCCAAAAGCTGCCAACGCGATCTTCGCCTTAGGCCATTGTGTACTTGGCCCCTCGGGTGAAACCGCAACATCCAGCTGCCTCACTGGTGGGCAAAATCGGCTTTTGTCAGCTTCACGTCGGTGTCGATGGTGACACCCCTCGCCTTGGCGACATGGAGCATGTCCTTGTCGCCCCGTCCACAAAGGTTCACGAGCCTCGGCAGGCTCCATTGGCATCTGTCGAACCGGGTTTCTAAAGCACTGGCAGCTGGCAGCCAAGAACATGCCCTATTGATGAGTTGGAACCACTTCCCCTAGCACCACCCCATAAGCTATGGCCGAGTCACAAAAACAACCCAAGGGTGCAAGGCACAACGGTGCCCATGAGCATGCTACCAATCCCAACAGAGCCAGTCATTTTTTCTGATCTCCTTAATTGAACTTGGTGAGTAGTTCCCCAGCACGCCATCGGGTGCCTGTGTTATTTTGCACCATCACGGGAGCAAGGTAGGGTCATGTTGACGTTCATTCCACTTGCGCACACACTGGATGTTGCGTTGAAGATGGGGTGGTGTGTGTGTGTGTGAACTTCGACTTGAGCTCCTTCCAAGTTTGACTTGAGGAAAGGGACGGGTGAATGTGGGATGCACGTTTGGCATAGTATCAGAATCAGAACCGATCGCAATGCCGCTGAAGAGTGCTTGTGCATCATCATTTTGCTGCGAGTTCAGGAAGCATATGAATCTCACGAAGAAGTATTTCCTTGCGGAGCTTTGCAGGAAGGGTCAAAAAGACCTGACGCCGCAGTTAGCTTGGGCGGACAGAGGTTTTCGGCAGGAATAGGTGCTTCAGACACAGGTTGGTTTATGCCCTCTGCTGCCTTAAGGGTACAACAAGCGCCCCAAGCTTGGCCCTATGCACCGCGACCTCCTCGAACTGAGGCTAGGGCAAAATCTTGTCCTTGGGCGTCTTCTTGGCCATCTCCATGGTGTGGTGCAGCGCGTGGCTGGGCTCCAGCGCTGGCACGATGCCCTCTTTCCTACCAAGAGAGGCTCGAGGTTCAGCGCGGCTGGGAGAAAACCGGTAGGAAAGCGAGGAAACGTGTGAGAATCTGATAAAATTCTGAGAATCTATGTAATGTGTCTGTGAGACCTGGTGACATCCAAAATTAGGCCACCCTACGGAGAAGTTGGTCTGTAGAAGGCACCCGGCGAGCCGCTTGTCTAGCGGCTGGTGCGCTGGATACCCCAGGGGCGGAACATGCTGACACCCGGCCTGGAGACTAGACGCATGGCATCCAGAGCCTGGGTGTCTGTGGCAAAGACGTACTCCACACGGCCTTAGGCACTTTTTTCAGTTCTCTGGGTTGGAAACCTTGGGCCTGAGCTGGCTCCAGCACGAGGGCCCGAAACACCTAAAGTGCGTGACAGCTCCCACATGAGGTGGGAATCTCAGAAAACTGCCACTTGTTGAGGTCCCAAAAAGCAGAAAAGGGAAATCGGAGGGACCCCTCCCTTTCACATCCCTTTGAGTTTCCGCCGAGATGCCACTGGCCTTGAGCGAGGCGTGCTGCGGGCCCACGCCCGGGTAGTCCAGGCCAGCCGAAATGGAGTGGGTCTCCTTGATCTGACCTCGTGCACAGGATTCCCTGCATACTGTTCTTGACTTCCATCAGAACTTGAAAGTGCAAATAATCCTTCAGCATGATAAGCAAGAAGCTCAGCATGGTGTGCAGGTGAACTAGCAAAACTGAAATGATATGAACAGTTTCCCAGGTGAGGTTGATTGGCATTTGTGAATGGTGTCGTTTCCCGGAGTCTGTTGAATGGACAAATCTCCAAACAGCCCACTTAGGCTCTCAAATATGACGCAAGGCACGGCGGTTTTCCAGTGATCACAGGCACTGCTGCAGAAACATGGACTCTCTGCTTGTTTGCGCATTCTGCAATCAATGCAAGCATCGTTCCTTCCATGGAATGCCCTAACACACACACACACACAACAAATGGCTGTATAAAATGCAGGTGTGTTTTCCCAAGAACTGCTGTCGGCTGGTCACAAGAATCTGTTCACTGCAGACATCATGAACGATGGGCAGTGCCCTGCCAAACTCCATGCTTCCGAACCCATCCAATATCCAATGAGTCTAGCTAAGGCTTGGGCCGTCGGGGGACTGCAGCAGATAGGTGCGAGATCCGTGCAGAACACCTTGGCCGTACAGCCATGCATCGAGGTACTGGCATTCACCAACACATTCGCATGAGGGAAGTGACACCAGCCACTGCACCATCAACATGGTTCAGTGGTTCAGATTCTTTGGGCAGAGGGCCCTTTACAAGACATCAACATGATCTTTCCGAGTCCAGGAGACCAACTGTGCCCTTGGTCAATGTGGCCGAGTGCTTGTCCGTCTCGGTGCCATCCTGAGAGCACCCAGTGACCGAGTGGATGTGAGCAAAACCACCACTCAATTCAGCACACATGGCATTTCCCGGTGAGTGCTTGCTGGAAACTCTGCTAGAAATGGTGAAGTACCTTGTAGTAAGGGGTCAGAGAATGTTGGTTTCCCTTTATAACCACCCAAAAAGGGCTCCACCATTTTGGCGCCTTCCCAGTTTGCCGCTTCGCCAGGCGGCCGGCAGCCAAGGCCCATGCTCGCCGCCGGCCTCGACGCCCACGATGCGCACCTGGGGACCCATCCGACCCGTCCGATCGCTTCAGGACACTCAGTGTACCACTTTGTTCGAACCCATTCAGAGTCACCCCGGGTGAGCGGTGCTAAAAGTGAACCGAACCGAGCGAAACTAAAATCTAACAAACCAGCGAACAACTGAGCTGAGAGACTTAGATGAAAGAAATACGTGGCCATTGACAGTGCCGGCTCGAACACGTGATCGCTCAGATGCTCGGTGGCCTCCTTGTCCTCGAGGAAGGCGCTGAAGATGCCGATGGCATTGGAGCCGCCGCCCACGCAGGCGATCACCGCATCCTCAAGGCCCGTGACTGGGACTTTGCAGCCCATGCCATTGTGTGTTCATAATGGCTGCGTGTGAACATGTGTTTTTTGTTTTTATCAAGTCAATGCCATGAGCAACTGCCTGGACAGAGGTTGTTAAGAGTATGTCATGCCAAAAGTGCTTCTGCCAAATGTTCTGAAATGACAGGCAGGACAAGCATGCGCTTGCCAAATGGTAGGTCACATCCAAAATAATAAAACCAATAAACAAGATACCGTGGGTTCACCCGAACAGGCACGCCATCTTGATTACCCCGGGGTCCACGTTTACACAGGTAGGAAGGTGTGGAGCAAGTGGGTTGAATCGAGCATTCTTCAGTCTAGAGCAGCGCCTGTGCTGTGACCTGTATCAAGTTTTGACAGGCTGTGGGAGTGTTCGGCTCATTCTCCTGTACGTATACCTGAAAACAAGAGACATAATGTTTCAAGACAATTTACTATGAAAGATGAGCCAGACATGCTAACATACAACTCAGGCTGGCTGGCTTTTTACAGCGCTTCTGCAGGTTTGATGAGGATGGCAAACTGCTGGTTCAAAAACACACAAACACCAAACAAACGAAAACAACAAACGCGCACATCCCCGTACATTACCGGTTTAGCGGTGTTTTCCCAAAGTGCAAGCTTGAGACAATCCCTATCCTGCCGTCTTTGCTGGGAAACTGACTGGCCAAGCTACTTTTCAGTTCTAAAGGAGCTGCGTGGGAGGTCTATCGACTTTCGACCAACTTTCGCGGATCTTATGTAAAGCATTGCCCAAAATTCGCCTGGGAAGTTGCGCTCAACTGGGCCCGAAAGCTTCAAAACTCCAACAAGCTGCTTTCTGCTGGGGGTTGCCTTTGCAGCGACTCATTCTTTTGCGGCAATCCAGGCAGCGCTTTCCTCCGACTAACTTTAGCCTGCGTGCATTGTGCGCGGACTGCCGGCAAATGCACACGGTTCATCATTTCAACTTTCTGTCTGCAAACCACGCTTACACAAAACCTTCGCAAGAAAAAACTGACTTTCGCGACCTCCATCGTGAAGCTTTCGCGGAGGACAACATTGAGACAAAATGGCATTCCCCATCATGCCTGAATACAAGGACCTATCGGACGACTCCTTTGGTGGACATTATTTAGGTGTCCAAATCACGTTTAAGGTATTTTCCCTAGTAAGACTCATAGCCAAATTAGCCCATTGGTTCACCGTGAGGCAAAATTCATTGCTCAGACGTCCGAGTTTCTGGGAGTCGGCCGGGGCCGTTGGTGAAGGTGGGGTGACCGAACTCCCCGGTGGTCTGGTTCAGCATCCTCAGCGCGGCGAAAAGTGAACCGATGAGCTTGGAGCAGTTCTTGCATACATGCCAAGCGTTTCTGCTGATTCATGATTCCTCGCAAACAATTTAGGAGGACCCAGCAAA